ATCACATCCAAGCTTCCAACTCTACCAAATTACCCGCGCCCCCAGATCCTACCCAAACTACCTCCACCACTACCCCAAAAATTCCCATAAAAAAATTATCCATGCAACAAATGCAAGAACGTCGAGCCTTGGGACTTTGTTATAACTGTGATGAAAAATTTATGCCCGGCCACCGATGTACCACCCCCAAATTCTTACTTCTTTTGTGTGAGGAGGAAACCGACACCTGCCCGTTCCTTATTGACACACCCCCCGCCGATTCTCCTTCTCAAAACACCATGGGCTCACATTTTCATCTATCTACGTCCGCACTTACGGGGCAACCATCCGCCCAAACATTAAAATTTCAAGGTACGATTTACGGGCAACGTGTTATCATTCTAGTTGACACAGGCAGTTCACACAATATCATCCAACCGCGCATGGTCCAATATCTTAATCTTCATCCTGTTCCTACACAGCCCTTCAAGGTCATGGTGGGCAATGGTGCCTATATTTCTTGTACTACAGTGTGTCAAGAAGTCCCAATCCAATTTCAAACACATTCATTTGAGGTTCCGTTATTTGTGCTACCTATTGAGGGGGCTGACGTGGTTCTTGGATTGGCTTGGCTACAAACACTTGGGCCTGTGCAGGCAGATTTTTCAATTCCTACTTTTACGTTTTCTCATCAAGGGAAACAAGTCACGATTGCGGGGGATTCCCAATTACCTACCCAAGCCACATTTCACCAATTTTGCCAATTCCTCCATCAGGATTCAATCGCTACGTTCCACCTCCTAACTATACAACAAGTTGACCCTTTTCCCTCCTCTCCGGCCTTAGACTTACAAACTCAACCTACCCAACCTACCCAACCTGAGCTGACTCGCTTATTACAAGAGTATGAGCAAGTTTTCCAACTACCTACCGGCCTTCCTCCTTCCCGGCCTCATGACCACCACATTAGATTACAACCCAATTCTAACCCAATCTCTGTTAAACCTTACCGTTATCCCCACCACCAAAAAGAAGCCATGTCTCAGATGATTAAAGAAATGCTACAAGAAGGTATCATACGTCCCAGTAATAGCCCCTTTTCATCCCCAGTTTTGTTGGTAAAAAAAAAAATGGGTCTTGGCGTTTTTGTGTGGACTACAGAGCTTTAAATGCCATCACTATAAAGGATAAATTCCCAATTCCCACAATTGATGAGCTATTGGATGAACTTGGGTCTGCTAAGATATTTTCTAAGATTGATCTACGCTCAGGGTATCATCAAATTCTCCTTAATCCTTCAGATATTGAGAAAACAGCTTTTCGTACTTTTGATGGACATTATGAGTTCCTTGTCATGCCCTTTGGACTCTCTAATGCTCCATCAACTTTTCAGTCTGCAATGAATGACTTACTGAGACCGTTTTTACGAAAATTTGTTTTGGTTTTTTTTGATGATATCTTGGTCTATAGTAAGTCATTTAATGCACACTTGCAACATTTACGTTCCATTTTAGATTTATTGTCTGTTAACCAATTTTATGCAAAACGTTCTAAGTGCATCTTTGGCGTGGCTTGTGTGGGCTATCTTGGTCATACCATTACCGAGTCTGGTGTGCAACCTGATCCAGACAAGGTCAAGGCCATCATGGACTGGCCCGTTCCGCTCTCGTTGACTGGCCTACGTGGCTTCTTGGGTATCACCGGGTTTTACCGGCGATTTGTCCGCCACTATGCTAGAATCGCCACTCCTCTCACCGAATTATTGAAAGCTCAAGTTTTTACATGGACTACTCAGGCTCAACAGGCCTTTACAGAATTAAAGAGACACATCACAAGTGCACCTATTCTACAACTGCCGAATTTCTCCAAACCATTCGTGCTCGAGACTGATGCTTCTGGGATTGCTGTAGGAGCTGTGTTGACCCAAGACTCTCATCCCTTGGCCTTTTTCAGTAAAAAGTTATGCACAAGAATGCAAAATGAGTCAGTTTATGTGAGGGAGATGTACGCAATCACAGAAGCTGTCAAGAAATGGAGACAATACTTACTTGGCCAAAAATTTGTGATCTTGACCGATCAACAAAGTCTTCAACATCTGATGTCTCAAGCCATTCAGACTCCGGCACAACAAAAGTGGTTGACAAAATTGTTGGGATTTGATTTTCAAATTGTTTACCGAGCAGGCCGTAACAATACAGTGGCTGACGCCTTGTCCCGGCCGGAGGATGTTCCAGATCAGATTTTGCTAGCTTTGTCATCTCCAGTTCCAACCTTTTTACAACAATGGAAGAATTATTTTACATCCGATCCAGCAGGCCAAGCAACAGTTCTTAGATTCATTCATAATCCTCACCTGGGACCCACGTACAATTTTCGCGAGGGGCTCTTGTATTTCCACAATAGGCTTTTCGTGCCCGAGGTCTATGATTCCCGACAAAAATTGATGCAGGAATACCATGCCACTCCCATAGCTGGTCACTCTGGCATTAAGTCCAGCCTTAGCCGCCTAGCTGCTTCCTATTACTGGCCTTCAATGGCTTCAGATGTTCGTCAGTTCATCAAGCGTTGCGCCATCTGCCAACAAAACAAATATGAAACTCAGAAACCTAGGGGCTTGTTACAACCACTTCACACTCCCAACAAGGTATGGGAAGAGGTGACCATGGATTTCATTACCTCTTTGCCAAGTTCCTACGGCTACACCGTGATTTGGGTCGTATGTGATCGTCTGAGCAAGTATAGTCATTTTGTGGCCCTGCCCACACGCTTCACTGCACAACAGCTCGCCCAACGTTTTATGCAAGAGATCTTTCGACTGCATGGCCCTCCTAAAACCATCATTTCAGACAGAGACCCCATATTTTTGAGTCAGTTTTGGCGTGAGATTTTTAAAGCTCAAGGAACAACACTTAAATACAGCTCTTCTTACCACCCACAAACGGACGGACAAACGGAGGTTTTGAACCGCACCCTGGAATGTTTCCTACGTTGTTTCGTGAGCGATACCCCGCGTTCGTGGTTTCGGTTCCTTCACATTGCGGAGTTCTGGTACAACACCAGCAAGCATTCCAGCCTATCCACCTCGCCTTTTCACGTTCTTTATGGTCGCACGCCGCCTACTACCATTGATTTGCTTCCCAACTTTGCCCCCAAAGTTTCCTCAGTGTTCACCATCCTGCAAGAGCACAAAGTCATTTTATCAGTTGTGAAGTACCATCTTCACCGGGCACGACAACGAATGAAAATAGAAGCAGACAAACATCGTTTAGACGCACACTTTACTGTTGGCGACTGGGTTTGGGTGCGCCTTCAACCTTATCGTCAAACGACTGTGCATCGTCGATCTAGCCAGAAATTGTCTAAGCGATTCTATGGTCCGTTCAGGATTCGTCAACGTATTGGCATGGTTGCGTATGCCTTGGAGTTACCAGAGAGTTCCCGCATTCATTCCGTCTTCCACGTGTCTAAGCTACGTCCATTTGTCGGCGACGACCCACTTTCACATTTCCGGCCACCACCGTCAACTTTACTCGATTCGACCCACGAACCGTTTTCTTCACGCTCCGATACAGGTGGAACAACACTTGAAAATCACACGAAACCACTAGAACCCACCACCGTGCCTTATCAACTTTCGAAGGTACATGTGCACTCACCAACGGATGACACGATCTTGGAAACTGCTTCATGGAAACCCGAGACACGCGTGGCAGCAAGCATTGATGACACGGCCACTCCACTTCCTGTTTGTGATTCACCATTGGATGGCATTCGAAGAAACACAAACACATCTCCACCCTCCATTACAGCTTCGATCCGTGACTTTCAACCATGCACCACTCAAGCCATGACATGTAGCACCCTTGAGGACAAGGTGCTGACTCAACCAGGGCCCATTGATAGGAATATAATAGCCAGGCCCAGAAAATTACCATATTGGGCTAAAGATTACTTAATGGACTAGAGAATATAATGTTAGTTTGGGCTTTATTATAATTGTTTTCCTCCAAGGTCTTTAGACCAGTGTAAGGGTATTTAACCCCTTTATCACCACTGAATGAGCATGATGAAATTCCTGATTTAGATTTTTCTTAGATTTGCTCTTGTAGACCTAAGTTCTCTGTAGACTCTATCAAAGAGTCAAAAGTAATATGATTTTCTTTTGGATAACAAATGATATGGACTTGTTACCAAAATTGATTTTCATATTGAATGTTTTTTTGGAAACTTATTATCAAAATTGATTTTAAGAGTATAATTATAAATCTAAACAGATAAAATTCTAAAATTGATTTTTTTAATGAAAAAACTATTAATATAGTGTGTTTGGATCAACGTTTGGGAGGAGTGGATTCACGTTTGATTTAGAAATTATTCTCACAAACTTCTAAGTCTTGGATCCATTTGACGTGAAAATAAGAGACAATATGCATAAATAATGTAACTTGAATTTTAACATTTTGAAATCAATTTTGTTAATAATCAAACATGTCAGAAATGTGATTATGATATTTTTTGGATGTAATGAAATTGATTCAAAACACGTTTGACATGGAACCAAATATACCTTTATAGTTGTGACTTAAACTTGATTTTTAGATTTCTCTATTGATAGGCTATATATAAATTTTATTATAAATCCTTATTGAAGTAATTTGTTTTTTTTTTAACTTTGCAAAGGATATCTTCCCCTAGTAGCCAAAATTAAAGAAATGCATAACATTTTGAGGGTTGAGGTAAATAGAAATCGCAATCAACCCACTTGGATAGATATCTTAAAATTGAAAGTTATATTGTACAATTAACAGATAATTTATAGAGGTCCACTATGGTAATAAAGACCACTCCTTCTCCAAGTACTCAATAATTAAATTGGTCCCAAAACTATGTGTGAGGTTCATGTAAAACCAAAGCCCAACACGATAGAGACTAGGCCTTGTTTCCATGACAAAGCCCACGAGTAAAGAAAGACCAAGCAGCTATGTTCAATTCCACTCCAGATGTGAAATGAAACTATCCTGTCCACAGAAATTAACAACAATAATACTAAAATGGAGTTGCCAATCAGCTTTTTATTGAAACAAAATTTTTAAGTATCAGAACGAAACTTACTATATAGAGAATAAACAAATCCTGAACGGATTTATTATATGGACAAAAACAAAATGAATTGAATGACCAAAATTCTAGGCCATGGAATTAAATACTCAGATGGAGAGAGAATATCGGTTATTCATTTCATAACATAACTCTATTCAACGAACTGAAGCACAGATGGACTGTTGGTTGTACAATTCTGTGACTCCATTTGTGATCTTCTGCCTGTTTTTCCTCCTCTTTGAGACAACTATAAACCCTTCACCATCTCCATTCTTTTTCTCAGTAACACCTAATTTCTCTTCCTCACCACCATCACTGGAATGAGGCACCGTCTTATTCTTTTCTTCATTTCCATACTTAATGTTTATGACAGCACTGTCTTTGGCTATTTCATCAGAACAACTTTCCAAGTTCTCAATTTTTCCTTCACCATCCTTAGATTCATCCACAGAATCAATATTATCCTTGACAGATTTCACTAGAAGACTGAGCAATATCTGTCTCCCTATCTCAGACTTCTCAGATTCAGAAATACTGTTTTTTGAGGAACTTTCTTTGATTTCAACAAAGTTTTCATCAAGCTTATTTTTTTCTGCCATGCCTACCTCAGACAAATCATTTGAATTGACATCATTGGTTTCTATTTGAGAAGCACTTCTGGGAACAAACTCAGGAGCATGTGGATTCATTACTCTTGGAGAGCCAAATCCACTTCTTTCCC